CAGTGAGAGGCCCGCGTACAAAAAAAAAAAAAAAAAAAAAAAAAAATACAGGGAAAACAGAAGTTCAATAACAAACAAAAACCTCAATAATTCAGAACAATGGCAACTAATTTAGGCTTTCAAATTAGAAGCCTCTGTTTAACTTACTAAAAAATCTACCCATCACAGCGAATTTTAAAACATTTTCAGTAACTGAAATGTATTCACAAAACCATGTTTATTCTCTGAATTTGCTTCATAAACTTTTCCTTTACAGATATTATATAAAAGTAATCTGCAGCCCAGCACAGATCAAGTAAGTAAGATTCTACTCAACAAATACACATTACTTCTCTAGATTCTCCCTTGGTAGCTCTAGCCCAAGAAGGCAATGATCAGTCCTTTTTAAGATTCTATAATCATATGTATTATCAAGATCCTTGAATAAATTCTATTCAATACCAATAAAATTAAAAGGACATTCATATAGTCTCTGAAATGCATATAGGCCCTTACATCATCTCATAAAAAGTGACTACAATGATGCCAATTTTGTCATATATTAGAATTCTAAGGTCAAGCAACAATCCAGTTTCCACAAGTGTCATACTGCATATCTTATGACATCACTGGAAGAGATGTGAAATATACTCTAATACCCCAATACATAAGTTTATTTTTTATATCTGATAAACCTAAATGATACTCCAATATCTAAGTACTCTTGCTTTAAAGAATACACAAGGGTTTCCCTGGTGGCGCAGTGGTTGAGAGTCCACCTGCCAATGCGGGGGACGCGGGTTCGTGCCCCGGTCCGGGAAGATCCCACATGCCGCGGAGCGGCTGGGCCCGTGAACCGTGGCCGCTGAGCCTGCGCGTCTGGAGCCTGTGCTCCGCAATGGGAGAGGCCACAACAGTGAGAGGCCCGCGTACCGAAAAAAAAAAAAAAAAAGAATACACAAGATGCACAAAGACATCAAAGAATTTGAAGTCACATGAATCCTGCACACCAATAAAGAATAACCTGCAAAACTCACATTTAAAATTATTGCTCGGAGGACACAGGGAGGAGGAAGGGTAAGCTGGGACAAAGTGAGAGCGAGAGCGTGGCATGGACATATATACACTACCAAATGTAAAATTGATAGCTAGTGGGAAGCAGCCACATAGCACAGGGAGATCAGCTCGGTGCTTTGTGACCACCTAGAGGGGTGGGATAGGGAGGGTGGGAGGGAGACACAAAAGGGAGGAGATATGGGGATATATGTATATGTACAGCTGATTCACTTTGTTATAAAGCAGAAACTAACAAAATATTAAAAATTTTTAAAAATAAAATCACCACTATTATTGTATTATGGAATAGAATCTGGAATTCTACACAGCTGCAATTTTATTAGATCTAAAATAACTGAAATACATTGTTTATTTGTGTGAAAAAAATAAAAATAAAAATAAAATAAAATCATTGCCCAGAAAGTATTAACGCCCATAAGTCAACAAAATTTTTGGCCCAATCTTCAATAACATGAAGTGCTGAAGAAAGTAATTCCTGAGAGTTCCCTGGTCGTCTAGTAGTTGGGATTCCAGGCTTTCACTGCCATGGCCCTGGGTTCAATCCCTGGTCAGGGAACTGGGATTGTGCAAGCTGGCACGGCGTGGCCAAAAAAGAAAAAAAAAAAATGTAATTCCTATCCCTGAAAGGTAAAGGGCAACCAGTTTTTTGAGGAAAGAAGTGACATACTAGCCAAGTATTACTTAGGAGGATCATTCTATGGTAGTGCATAGATCAACCAGAGAGGTAAAGACTACAAGGCAGAAAGACTATAAACACTACTTATAAAAAGTATGCCATCAGGACAAATAAGCAGTACAATTAGAGGAGGTGTTAAGTGCAAAGATAATGGGAGCAATATCTGACAGGAGTAGGAAGAAAGGAAGTATGAAAAGTCTAAGATGATCCCAACTTATGTGGTTAAGCAGGGTATTTTAACAGAAACTGGGCGGGGGGCGGGGGGAATCCTTTGAACTCAGTTTGGAAGGTAACAGGAATTGTACTTCAGACATAATATACTTATTTTGTTTTCCTATTTAAAAAGTTTTTAGGTAAGATAAGGAAGCACTACTCAATTTTCAGAGAAAGCCAGGCAGTGCTATAAATGAATCAAGTTCACATACCACCCTAGGGATGGAGGAGGTGGCACAGGGTAGTAGCAAGAGGGCAGAACTGAGCTGACTCCTGGCTTTAAATCCTGGCTTGTCATTTATAAATTATGAGATACAATTATTTCACTGGAATCATGGAAATGACATGCCATCTGCCAGACAAGATTAAATGAGAGAATACATTTGTACAGTATCAATTAAATAACTTGTGGCACCTAGTAGATATTCAACAAATATGAGTCTCCACCTCCAAACATGACTGAATATCAATTCAATTCTATCAGCTAACATGTACTGAGTGTCTATTATGGGCTAGACAAGGATAAGAAGCACTCACCAATCCATACAGTGCTGGAGGTAGGGGTGAAGTTGGTGGCAAATGACCCTAACTCCAATTAATTTTTATTGAGCCCTTATGTGCTAACTGCTATCTCATTTAATTCCCCTGAAGACCCTATGAAATAGATAACTACTATCTAACATATCAGACTCAACTGGGCTTTTCCAAGTTATGTAAGTGCCATCTTGCCCTTCCTCAGACAGCCCCTGTTGAAAATCACTCAGAAAAAGTAAACCGAGGGCTTCCCTGGTGGCGCAGTGGTTGAGAGTCCGCCTGCTGATGCAGGGGACACGGGTTCGTGCCCCGGTCCGGGAAGATCCCACATGCCACGGAGTGGCTGGGCCCGTGAGCCATGGCCACTGAGCCAGCGCGTCTGGAGCCTGTGCTCTGCAACGGGAGAGGCCACAACAGTGAGAGGCCCGCGTACCGCAAAAAAAAAAAAAAAGAAAAAGAAAAAGTAAACAGAGTAAGTGATGATGTACAAATATTTTAAGGCAGGAAAAGACTGAGATAACTGGTATGGTGGGCTCTCCTGTCACTTATTAAGATGTGACCCAAACTGCAAGTGAGCAATGAAGTGGCACATACACCTGATCTCCTAGAGCTCTAGAAGCAACGCTTCAATTTACAAGTATACAATACATGCATTAGGCTGTAAGGCACTTCTCATGACAGTGACATCAGTCGTGAGATCACCCCCATGGATGAATAATGCAAAATCTGTTCATGGTTTTTCAAAATATCTTAACTTTTATAGTATGTTTAAGTTTATAAAGCTTACAGAGTCAAGTACCAAAAGCAATTAAATGCTTAATATACACCTCATGATATTATTAAAGGGGCCCCAAATAAGAAGTTGACCATAGTTTTCCCATGGTGAAAAAAAGCTTTCCATGCATTCAGACCACGGATAACATTATAAACTTAATGGCAATGCTAGAGACATCTGCAAAGTGATGGATGTTTTTGGAATAATGAACCAGAAAAATCACAGATATAATACGATGTTCCTTAAATTTAAGCTTCTCAGTGTAGTTGTACCCAGTCTCCACACACACACACGCAACCCATTCTTGTTCATTCTACTCTGGTCTTACTCGAAATGCATATCACATCCAGATTTACTGGCTACTATTGATCCTGGACTTAGAATTCTACTAGGCCCAAAGTCATTTGTTTATGGTTAGCAAACAGGTGACTATTAGTGCTTGATTTCTCAAGTCCTGCATGGTTCATATCTGTTAGTGAAAGAGAAGTAAACCTCCCAAGGAATGAAAATTATTGTTTCATATTTTCCAATGGTATCTCCATGTTCAGAAACATAATCTTATCAAGTGTTCAAAGGAATAATTCTAATTAAGTAGGAAAGTTATCAGAGTGTATGAGTGAATAAAACTGCCACACCCTAAGTTAAAAAGAGAAATAACTGTGGTAAAATTATTACCACAATTTTTAAAACAAGAAAAGATTTTACCAAAAAACAGCTGGGCAACAGTACTGTGTTTTAACACAGATGATATAATCTGGGTCTTAAAATTGCTAGTTAAATTTGATCATGGTGAAATAAGCCAGTCACAAAAGGTCACATGTTATACCATTCCACTTACAAGAAATATTCAGAATAGGTAAATCCAGAGAGGCAGAAAGCAGACTGGTGGTTGCCAGAAGCTGGAAGGAAAGGGGAATGGGAAGTAACTGCTTAATGGGTACAGGTTTCCTTTTGGGGTGATGAAAATATTTTTAAACTAGACAGAGGTGGGGACTTCCCTGGTGGCGCAGTGGTTAAGAATCCGCCTGCCAACGCAGGGGACATGGGTTCGAGCCCTGGTCCAGGAAGATCCCACATGCCGCAGAGCAACTAAGCCCGTGCGCCACAATTAGGGAGCCTGCGCTCTAGAGCCCGTGAGCCACAACTACTGAGCCCACGTGCCACAACTACTGAAGCCCACAGGCCTAGAGCCCGTGCTCCACAGCAAGAGAAGCCGCCACAATGAGAAGCCCACACACTGCAACGAAGAGTAGCCCCCGCTCGCTGCAACTAGAGAAAGCCCGCGCGAAGCAACAAAGACCCAACATAGCCAAAAATAAATAAAATAAATTTATATTAAAAAAAAAAACTAGACAGAGGTGATGGTTTTTACAACACTGAATGTACTGAATGCCACTGAATTGTTCACTTTAAAATGGTTAATTTTGTTATACGGATTTCAGCTCGATTTTTTGAAAGAATATAAAAAAGTTTTTAAAGATTTGATCATGGATCAAAGGACT